TTTCCCTAATAAAATTGCCCTTTTTTTTACCTTCACTCCTTACCTTCTTTCTCAGCAAATTGGGAATCCTGGTCTTTGCCTTCTATTTCATTTCCAGGACCCTGGCCACTGTAAGACCAAGCAGCAGCTCTCTTAAGGACCACTAAAATTGCTCTACACTCCCTGGTGCCTCTGTGTTGCTGACTTTACTCTTGTTTCCCATTTGGTTCAATTTGCCTAAGAAAGAGAGACTGAAGCCAGAACACTTTGGTGTTGAAAATTAGGAGCACAAACTGTGCATGTAGTCTGTTGAATTTGGTAACAATCCTCAGGATCTCTGTTGTGCTCTAACCCATTGTCACTGTGTCAATCTCTTGTTGAGGGTCTTCCTCTTTTTCTCTGACCTTTCCCCGCATGACGTCCTTTTCCAAAGACTGTCACCTGACAGTAGGTGCAGAGTACATGAGATGAAGTTTCACCATTCTTGCCTTTAAAGAGCATTTTTATTGCACTTTCTCCAAGACAGATTTTTTTTTTGTTATTTTGGCAGTCCATGGGGTATTCAGGACTCATTTCCAACACCACAACACAAAGACATAATTTTTTTTTCTTCTGTCATTCAATGCATAAGAAGTAACTGAAATGATAATGGCTTGGCTCAGGAACACATTTAGTTTTTAAACTGACATTCTTGTTCTGTAGCATTTTGGAAGAGTTCCTTCATAGCCAATTTTCACAATCTCTTGATTTCCTGAGCACTGTTACCTTAGGTGCCTATTGTGGGTCTAAGTAAAGTGAAACTGTTGACAATTTCAATTTTTTCTCCATCTATCACTATGTTTCCTATTAGTCCAGTGGTGAGGATTTTGTATTTCTTGATCTTGAGGTATAATCCATATGGCAGGTTGCAGTCTTTGATCTTCTGCAGTTAGAGCTTCAAGTCCTCTAAATTAAGGTAATAATTCATGTCCACAAATTTGGAAAGATTTTCTTAAGAGCCAGTTTTGGGGAAAATTAAAGAATCAATTTATCAATTTTTAAGGAAAAATGAATCCTGACAGTTGAAGACCTGTGCTTACTAATTAATTCTCTTTTTTACAAGACTTTTTATTTTCTGCTGTGAAAAACTTCTCAGAGGCTGCTTCAAACTTTCACAGAAGACTCACTCAAATTGATTTTAATAAGTAAGTTTCAGATATCTCTGTTACTTTGAAAGATATCTAGTTATTGGAAATAATTGTGTCCACTTATATGAACATTGAGCTCTGAATCCATGTTGCTACAATTGGAAGCATCAGTAGCACCTAGGAGCTTCCAAAAATCCAATCCACAAAACCCCCAAACACTCTGTTGCAGAGTGATTCCAACTAACAGTAACTAACAGTAACTCTCCTTAAAAAAGGAAAGGGAAGGGTAGGGAAGGGAAGGGAAGGG